CCTCTCCCCTGTTCCTTGCACTTTTCTCAGACCAGGGTGATCCCAGTCTGGGGAAAGTGTGTGAGTCAGTGGCTGCTCTATTGTGAGAAGTGGGTGAGAAGCACTCAGCTTCCAGTTCCTGGAAGTCATCTGAGCAGCAGTACAAAGCCCCCAACTGCTGCTCACACTGCTAACTCTGGTCTGAGGAGTGGATGGGGAACAACAGACAGCTGCTTCTCTCCTCCCCTCCTGGTCTGCAGTAAGAGATAAGCAGCTTCCCCCATGCCCTCTTCAAACCATGGTGACCCTGGTCTAGGAAAGGCATGGGAGCCTTTTTCTGCCACTGGATGACTCCTGGGACCAAGGTTGACCTTAGTATCAGGAAGGCATAGGAAGCATTTCCTGGCTGCTCAACTCATCCTGGTCCCTGGGAGGAGTCAAGTGGTGGGGAAATGTACAGGAATTTATTCTCCCAGGAGAAATTCTCCCAGGAGTGAGCTCTGCTGGATTGGAGATGGATTATTTTTCTCCAAAAACCACCATTTTTTTCTGGAAGAAATTGTGTGAATACCTGTACGCTTGTCATTTCTACTGGGAAACTGTGATTTTGCTGGGAGAAGCATAACACCTCTGCATAGCATAAGTACGCTTAGAAATTAATAAAACAGACACTTAGAGAAACATTATGAGAAAACTAAAAATGTGTACTTACAAGTAATTCAATGTGTAAAAAAACCAAACACCATGAATGATATAGATGGCTTTCTGAGGAGGAAAAAAACAACAGTGAAGGTTGTTTATGGCAACCACACTGTACTGTCTGTTCATTCGTGCAATCAACCGCCTAACTTACTGGGTACAGAAAGTCAAATCCTAACCAACATTTGTTGACTGACTCCACAATTCCCTACAGCTTCCCTCATAATTTCACGTCATTTGTCACTTACATTTCCACAGTATTAATACACTCATCCCTTAGTTTTCAGAGGCCCCAATACCGTCAGCTCCAACTGACGTATTGGAACAGTTGATAGTCAGTGCTTCTGAAGCTCATGATATAAGCCTCTAGAGATGGGTATGTGGAGAAAAACAGTACATAATCTTATCACCACCCTTTTTACAGAAGGTATAAACTTACACTGAAAACTACTTCTTAAGTTATACTTTCTTTGCAGTCTAGTGTCAGCACAGTGGCCTAATTAATTCTTGCAGTTTAGATGCTGTGTATTAAACAGGGTGTACTGATCTGTATGGGTGATGTGGGTGATCAATGTTAAAATAGATCAGGCACTTAGAACTAGTTTAAGGAACTATATTGGAACTATGGTTCCTTTTTTTAGAATTTGGAAAGAAATATGAATTAACTTATTTGTCAATTGAAAGTTCATCAAAAAAGTGAGAAATAGTTTATCTCAATAAAGCCATAGAGAAGAGGTTTTCAAACTTTCTTATTGTGTCCCCCCTTTCAGATTTACCACCTGCCTGCATACCCTTACCAGCATGTTTTATATTTTACATCTTAAATGCTAATTATTATTACTACTAAAATTTAAACTGCCATTACCCAGTTTCTCCCATGCAACCCCCACAAAGATGTCTTGGGTACCCAAAGGGGTACTCATACCACAGCTTGGGAACCCCTGCCATACAGGGTGGTTTTTTTTTCGTGGAGCCTGCCCATAGCTCCTGCAGCTGGAAGGGCGGGGGGTGCGAACTGCTGGTGGGCTGAGCGATCCCTGAGCTGCAGGGGGCATGGGGGCATGGGGCCAGGTTGTTCCCTCTGTAGTGGTAGCATCCACTGGAGCTGACGGGTGTGTTGTTAGCAGGCCAGGGCCTGCCCTAGGTTGGAGGCAGCATCCAACCCAATCTGATTGTTTCCTGAGCCCAAGCCCCTGTTCCTATTATCAGCTTTGCTCCAATACTGTGCAGTGTTGCCACAGAAAATTACCTTCAGTGTACACTTAGCATTTCCCTGTTATCAAGATAGACTGCAGTGACTGTTGTTTTGTGGGGATTTGGCTTGAGTCTCAATTTAAAAAAAATATTCCTCCATGGTATGTAGGTCCTCATTCAAAATTGACCTGATGTCATTGAAAATGGCTGCTTGCATTGCCAAACCAAGGTCATCTGCATATACAAATTTGCATGACTGTTGGCAGCATATCGCTTGTGTATATATTAAAGAGCGTTGGTGAGAGTACTGAACATTGTGGCAGCCCACTGCTGAGGAACCAGGGCAAGCTGCCTCTGTTACCCAGGTGGACATGGAGCTGCCTATTACTCAGCATTGTCTATATCAGGTGTAGTGTTTGGTGGCAGAGTATAATCTTTGTGAGCTTCATCATCAATCAGACTTTTAATTCAGACCATATTGTAGGCTGATAACAGATCTACAAAGTCTGCACCAGTCTTGGATTTTTTCTGAAAAACCAGCCTTGATGTGCAATGCAAGGTCCAAAACTTGGTCGCAACAGCTTTGCTTAGGCCGTAATCCTGCTTGTTCATTGGAGATCACTGGTTTGATAAAATATCTGATTCTCCCGAGTTCCAGGAGTGACCCCTGAGGAACTTCATCAATAATTTTGCATTAGCTTGATCCTTCCTCTTTCAACATGGCCTACTACTGTCTGCTCTTAAACTGGTTCATTTTCCATCTTTAATTCTTCCAGTAATCCCCATGTCCCCCTTTTCCAGGCTGGGTAATAATTTTTCATGTGGCACTGTATCAGATATATTATTGAAGTCCAGACAGATTAGATCTACTGCATTTTCCTTATGCAGAAAACATTTTTTTTTATTGAGAAATGGTATCAGTGTAGTTTGACATGTTCTTTGGTAAACACATGCTGCATTTTAGCTCATTTTCTATTTATTGTAGACACTTTATAAAATGCATCTTGCTTTGCTGTGGAGATGCTGCTTCTGTATCATTGCAGACTGTCCACAGACTCCAACTGGAAAAGCTCTTGCCACTGCAAACCCCATTTAGGCTGCCTTGGTACATGCATATGTTTACCACACCCAATGTACAATCACGTGATTCACTTTAAGCTGTGTGATTGAAGATCAGGAGTGGCATGTGCGCACATTCACTGGTACTGGGAGCTGTACCAGAAACCCAGTCTAAGTAACTTGGGGTGGGGATAAAGCTAGCACCCACAAAAATCCTTGCCTCTTACATTTTTCCTGGACCATTATGGTTATAATGTCACTCCAACACTACCAGAACGATTTTTAAGATTTTTTCCGCTAATATTTTCATGCTCTCATGAAAGATGCAGAGAAAGAGAGACAATAAGCAGCAGAGATAGAATAATGCTAACATAAGTCTTCCGAAGCTCCTAGCACAGATGCAAATAAAAGTATATCAAGGAAGGTATTTCATCCTCAAGGAAGATATTTTAAACTAGTTTTGTCTCATTGTGAGAAAGCATCAAGAAAATCATTTTCTTTTTTCTAAGCAACATTTCAAGTTGAAGTCACTAGAAAAAAAGGGAAGAGCAAACTCAGTTATCACCAGTAACTTCATTTATTCTCAGCTACAGTTGAGTTCTATATTCCATGAAGTAGCACCAACCTTCTTCCTTGAGCATCAATGCTCAAGATCCTACCATCCTAGATAGCAGGAGCCCACAGCTCTCACTGAAATCAATGATATTAAGGTGAATGGGAACTGATGGGACTCAATATAATGAAGGAAGTACTCAGGACCTGGTAAAGTGATGGCTTCATGTAATTTCCTTAATATAGTTAGATAAGCTGCTGGTTGGTTTTCAAAGGCAATGTAGCAATTGTCTGTTTCTCATAATTCTGAACATAATGGTCCCCTCTTACACTAGGGGCCTTTAACATGGATTTTTCATGTAACCTGGTAAGTCGTATTATGTTAGCCATCTTTACACTACAGTGCTTTAGAAAAATACATCAGAAAAGGTTCTAGGTCTGCCCAGGCTGAGATGTTCCATTAGACTGAAGAGGTTAAGGCAAGTCCATTTATGTAGCCAGTAGCACATAAGGGAGTGGTATGTCTAGCACCACATGTAGCAGTCTGTGATTCCCTAGCTCACACTCAGCTGGGGTTAGTCTATAATGCATGTCTAGAATGAGGCTTAAGTTTGAACCTGTGAATTCAGAGCAGGATGGCTTACCCTTCTGACACCATGTCTCTCCACATGAATAGATCAATCCCCTAGCAAAGTTTGACAAAAATAAGGATGTAGAAAACTAAATTCACTGTTGGTGAACCAGCAACCCCACCTATTTCAGTGGACTTACCAGATAGTGTGGTCTATGGAGAGACTGTTGGCACTTTACTAATCCTGTTGGTGTGTAGGTATTGCAAATAATTCATTTGCTGTGCACCCATGCTCTTTTGTGGTGTCATTTCATCATTTTTTACAAACCAAACAAGGTCAAGTCAGTTCAGGGCTTGGCTATGAAACTGGGAATAAAAAAACTAGGTGCTTCAAAACAGCTGGCACTGATGGATTTACATGAATCAGTGACTATACACTGAATCAATTCATAGCATGAGAGGGCATTGCATAGTTGAAGAGATAGTACTTCAGAGGAATAATAAAAGAAAGTACAATGGTATTTTTTACAAGAGCAGAGAGGTTTTCCTGTGCCCCATGCCCTTGGGTCAAATTCTGAGCTTTGCTTACATGGTAGTTAAGGGATACACATCTCAACACAAGATTCAGTGAATGGTCATGCATAGTGCCATGATTTGTTTCAAGAACTTGACTTATTTCTTGCAGTACTTACCTTAGAATTACAAATATACATTAACCATTATTAGGGGCAAAACCAAATGCTATACAAAGCAAATTCAACATTTAACATCTCTTAAATTATGCTCAAGACATGTAAAAAAGTTAGAGATCCTGTTTGAATAAGCATCCAAGTGTTTGAATGCCCATCCATATGTATCTGAATCTCTTTAGTCCAGCACAGAATTTACCTTTTTTGCTATTAAAGACACCACAGAATTGTTAATAAATATTGTCATCAACACATACCAGTCTGCGGATCTCTCTTTCACACTCTCTCTTGATCCTGCTGATTTCCTCTTGGTGTAAGTGATAGACACTCCTTATCTCTGCTGCTTTAATTTTGTCAGCTTGTATGACCAAAGTTAAAGCTTCTTCCACTTGCTTTTTAGCCCCCTTTAGCTCTGAAATTTCCTGCTGCATTTTTATTTTCTCCACTTCAAACCCTTTCTTGGCCTCTTCCTTTGCTTCTGTGAGAAGCATTGTTTTAACCTTATCAGGAGCCCCATCTCGTACTGTATTAAGAAGGGCCTGTAGTCTCTGGATTTCATTATCTTTAATTTTTATGACTCTAAGAAGCTCAGCTTCATGTTGTCTCAAAAGTGCTTCTCGAACAGACTGGAGTTCCTTCATTTTTTCTTCATGAAGTTTGGCTTTAAGTTCTGTTACCAAGACTGTGCTTTTATGCTGTTCGTGCTCTTTGATCTGCTTAACTCCCTGGTTTTTCTCCCTTTCCAACTTGCTGACCTAAAAGGAGACAGAAAAAAAGGAGTATTTTTGTAAACAAAATGGTTCCAATACTGGGAATGTCTGTATTCTGTTTCTGGGTACCATTTCACAAAGATGATTGGAGTTGACATTTTACAATTTTGTAGCTTAATGTTATGTGACTGTTCCTCAGAGGGCAACACCAACTATTTTTAAGGCTCTGTACCATACAGAGAACTAGACTTACTGTGTTATGATCCATTATTCAATATTGCGGTAAATGTTCAATTTTTCCAATAGTTCCAAATGCAAATAAGGTCACTGATCTCCTCTGATGTCAAGAAGAAGTATTTATTGTTCAATATAAGCTTGATTATAACAAACACCTTTATGAAAAAAGAGCTTTAAGATCAAGCAATATATAATTTTTGGGAGAGTTTTAGCTAAACAAAATACACACTACAAAATTTTCAGGGCAGAAGACAAGCTCTTCTAATCTTTTATGAAAACATTTTATTTCATTGTTCTAACTTTTGGTTAAAAATAATGCATATTCCAATGAGGAGCATTAAAAAGGTATTATTAAGCAACACTAGCCTTGAAATTCAGCTACATGACTTAATCACTGGGGCTCGCAGCTAATAACCGTCAATTCTATTTGCAACATAAGCACCTCTTTGTGAACACTTCTCGCTTTAGCACCAGTTAGATCTATTGTTTCACACAGCTAATCAGGAAGCACGGATAAGGGTCTGCTTCATAATTTCTGTGTTCAATTAATATCATCATCAAAATCAATTGTGATACAAAATATAACCTTTAAAAGTCAACTATTACCTTCAAGTAGGGCTAGTCTTGCACTCTATACAGTGAAAGTATGCAGGATAAAAATAACACCATCCTCCCCTCTGCCATTTTCTTTTAAATTCATGCCATATGTGCTATAAGGAGTACATGTGTACATGCACGTGCAAATGTGTACAAGAGAAAGATCTAAAAATTTAAATCTTAGCTGACTACCCAAGCATCCTGTGTCTTCAAAACTGTGCTAAAAACATGTGAACAGCCTTTCTTGTAGTATTTTGGCATTTTCACTTCTGATTCCAGCTGGAACCGAGGAGGAGAGAAAAAACATAAAATATATTTTCTTTGAAGTTGATTAATTTGCTCTTAAAAACCATAAATCTGCTCTCTGCTTAATTTTTACGTGAATATTTGGAATTATCCTGATTTATACACCAATTTTCAATCATAGTATTGACTGGTGAATGTGAGTGGAAGCTGCACAGTTAAAAATCACACACATGTCTTTGAAGAACGTATCTACTCTCTTTTGGTGAAATGAAAGCTACAGCAGGCTGGCCATTTTTGATTATTTAAGCAGGATTTTATATGTGCAAATTAGAGCTTATTTTTTGTCAAACAAAATATATGCAGTTTTAGGGTTTTCACCAAAAAAAAATCCCATAAAACAAATCTAGATGAATCATATTGTTTGGGGATGGGCTGAACAGAAATACTTCTGTTTATGAAACCAAATGAAAACATTTTCATTCAAGTCAATTTGATATTAAATCATCCCTTGATTGCAGCTGAAACCACTCTCACCAAAATCTCTTGACAGCCTCGTCACAGCCATTTCTCAGATTTAGCATTTCGTCATCAAGCTTCATGACTCTTTAGCCCCACTTCACCAGAGGTATCATTCTCCTCTTGCAATCCTGTCTTCCCTTGGTTTCTGTGAAAGTTCTCTCTTGGCAATCCTCCTACATCTCTGATCACTCCTTCAGTGTGTCCTCCAAGGGATTTTCCTTATCTTCCTTCAAATTTCTGTGTGGTTTCATAGAACTGTATCTTTGATCCCCTTCTCTTCTCTCTAGAGTATATCTCTGTGTTGACAAATTTCTACTTTTCAAACAGGGATTTTCTGTTCTCTGTCAAAACTTGATTTTTTTTCCTTCTCTTTTTGGCTGCTCAATGTTCCATATAAATCTTACCTTTTCTCCAAAAATCAGTCCGTTTTCCCCCCAAAATAGCTGCCCAATTTCTGTGAAAAAAGCAGGTCTGATTGGATGTTTTAATGTTGCAGAGTGAGAGGCTGCTAAACTTGTTCTTGTGAAATTTCAAAGCGTATAATTAGAACAGTTTATATCTGCATTGTGTCTAAACAATGGAGGACGCACTTTTCACTTCACATCCAAACTGTTGTGTGATTTGGTGATGGACTGTTAAACGGCTGCTGTTACATGAAGTATCTTGCTCTCAGTAATTGCTTAAGAGTTAATACCTGTTAAGCACTTTGAATTATAGGCATTATAAGAAAGCACAGTATTATTATCATGCTTCATATTTTTATACCTTTACAAGAACAAACATATGGAAAATAACAGCATTAGAAGTCTTGCATGTTGTATTTCTCCACAACTATTCCAATTATTCATTAGTTTTCCAGACATGATATCAGATAAAAATCTATTCAAATATCCAAATAAATGTAGGAAATATAAAAGGAAATCTCATAACCAACCTTGATTCCCAATTCCCAATAAAGGGAATTCCCCATCCTAATCACTATGGAGAAATTAGTGCTTTTGTTTTTCTTTTACCTCACCTGCAAGCACATGGAGATTTTGTCTGTTATTAATTACAGCATTAACTAATGGCTGGACACTGTGCTAAATCAACATTTTCAAAGTGCAATGCTTTCCCCTTTAGAATATGAAGAAAAACCAATAAAGCTCATTCAGTTTCTGTTTGTATTGCAGTACTATCTACTGAAATAAAGAAGACATGTAGATAAACAGCTGATAAAAGGAAAATAGTATTTAATTTACTGGTGCAATATTGTCTTTGCTATTGTCAAAATGATAATGTTTTATTACTAGAATGACTGCAGGAATACAGCCCTTAAACTGAGTTATGAGTAGAGGAAAGTAGAGGTAGTTAGGTCAAAAGATGTGGTCATCATGGGTGACCTGAACTTTCCAGACATCTGCTGGGAAGAGCAGTCAGCCAGGTCTGACTGCTCACGTAGGTTCCTAGCCAAGATACAGGACTTCCATCTAACCCAGGAGGTGCACAGCCCCACCAGGGGAGACGCCTTCTTGGATCTGGTGCTGGTCACAGGTGACGACCTCGTGAGGGAGCTGTGGGTGCTCGACCACCGGGGCAACAGTGATCATCGCCTGCTGGAATTCACCATCCAGCGCAAGGTGGCAAAAGCCTGCAGCAAGGCAACAGCCCTGGACTTCAGGAGGGTGGATTTCAATGAGGTAAGAAGAATAGTCAGGGAGGCACTGAGGTCCCAGAGGGGAAGGGAGTCGGGTGTCCAAGAAGAGTGGTCGTTCCTTAAGAAGATGATCCTCCATGCCCAAAGGGAGGTAATCCCAACAAGGATCAAAGGGGGCAAGAGGGCGCAAAAGCCTCCATGGCTCACCAAAAGCATACGGGAACGTCTCCTAGCCAAAAGGGAGGTGTACACCCAGTGGAAGGGAGGGGCCATCACCAGGGAGGACTATACCTCAGTTGCTCGGGGCTGCACGGGGCGTGTTAGAAAGGCTAAGGCAGAGATGGAACTGGGACTAGCTACCTGGATCAAGGACAACAAGAAGTCCTTTTTTAAATACATAGGGGGCAAAAAGAAGGTACCGGGTAACGTGGGGCCTCTGCAAGACATGCTAGGAAATCTGGTGGTCACACCAGACGATGAGGCAAACCTATTTAATGATTTCTTTGCCTCCATTTTCCTGAGCAGGGACCAGATCAGCCCGTCTGCCGGGACCCCCTCAGGCCCCAAGAGAGGTGCACCCAGGCCTAGGGTCAGTCAGGATCTAGTCAGGGAACTTCTGGAGAGACTGGATGTGTTCAGATCACCAGGTCCTGACGGTCTCCACCCCAGAGCGCTGAGGGAATTAGCAGAGGTCATTGTGGGACCCCTGGCATGGCTTTACGAGCACTCGTGGTGCTCTGGTGTGGTGCCAGAGGACTGGAAAAGGGCCAATGTGGTTCCCATTTTCAAAAAAGGGAGGAAGGAGGACCCAGGGAACTATAGGCCAGTTAGTCTTACCTTGATCCTGGGTAAGCTTTTTGAGAGAATTATCCTGG